CGAACGAAAAAGATGGTAATCTGATGGTGCCATATTTGGAGAATATGGTGGGTGGGGGAAAACTTCCCAACCCAATTCCATAATCTGGTGTTGCGTCAAACATGCCACATGTGGACATGCATGGTCGTGGAGAAGAACACCTTTCCGATTGACGAGTGAAGGGCATTTCTGATGAAGGGCTTGATTTAAATGTACCAGTTACTGACCATACTCTCTGCATTGATAGTTCGCTGTGAATTGAAGAGTTTGAAATGAAATACTCATTTGATGTCCCATCAAATGCAAAGCATCACTTTCTGCAGATGGAGTCCAGGTTTTGGGGTCCGAAGTGGTTTTTGTCTAGGACTGAGCCATTGTTTTTGGTGTTTAATATTCGCAGAGAGAATCCATTTTTTCATCATCGGTGACAATTCTGTCTAAAAATGGTTCATGTGCATTACGCGCCAGAAGAGACAAAGCAACATTCACATGTTGGAAACGATGATCATCTGAGAGTTCGTGAGGCACCAAAACACCTTCTTTATGGAGTTTTCCCATATTCCTTAGATGTTTCATGAGAGACATGCAATTTCACGAGTGTGTTGCATTGGGTTAGACTCAACAAGAGTCTTCAGAGCATCAGTATCAATTCCAACATGTTGGCCCCCGCCATCACAGTTTTTAAGGTTAAAGTCATCTGAATGAAATTTGCTGAGCCATCTTTGACTCTTACAAACGTTCGAAACATTTCCATAAACTTATTTGATATTCTTTGTGGCTACAGAGGCTTTGTTACCCTTTTTGTACTCAAACAGCATTACATGCAAAATGTGTGTCTCCTCATGTGCCATAACTATAAGGGATTAGAGTATACTAAACTTTACACATTATATAGGCTACACTAATGTGGTGTTGTTTAGGCAGTTAGTTTATCTATCATACGTGATGTACATTTTTGGGGGGGGGGGTAATGAAAGTGTCCCAAAATGCGTCATTAATTTTTGACAACCTAATACAAACTAAATAGTGGCAAAGTTTCAACACAGCAGTTAATTCGGATAACATTTTTATACATTCTTGTATAAAAGCTTCATAATAACCTGAAATACTGTCATCATACCTTTGATATGCATATCATTAAATGTTACATATATTCTGTATTTGCCATCCTGTGAAGGTGTGAAGGTGACCCAAGAGATACCATTCCCCCTCTCATCAACCATCAGAGGAAGGTTGCGTTTATTATACTGCACATCAATATTCACTTTTCCCCAGCCAGCATCACTGGCATCACAAAGAAATGTAGAAGGTTCTCCTTTTACTAACTGCTCTAAACCTTTCACCTAGTTGGAAAATTAGACCCATGTATGATTAACAGCACAATAATTCCAACAAGATTGACACAAAGATAAAATTTGATGTTTAAAGATGTTTAAAGACATTCTAGCCTAAAACTGGAAAAATGTTTTTATCCAAAGTCAAATTTTTGGAGAATGGGACTTGTGCCTCACATAATGGAAAAAAATTAATACTGAAATATACTTTTACTCTATCCCTTGTAAATGACAAGCTTGGGCTGTCGAAACCATAATAGTTTTCTAAGTTTTGTTATTTCTTCATTATTTTGTGCATTATTATGCTGATGTATTATTAGTTTCTTATGAATTTGTGTTCTTCTTTAAAAAAAATTTTAATTTCAGAGTAATATTATATGAAGCTAGAATATAAACAGTTTTTAGATTTACATTAATTTGAAAGCACCCAAAGCAGTAAGCAAGGTAGGCTAACATACATGTCACTTTTATCACTTAAAGAAAATTAAAGATCTTCAAATAACTACTTTCAGAATAACCATACCTTAACCTGGCTTGGATCAAAAACATAACATGTAAATGGGCTTCCTTCAATGTGTTCTCTTGAGTAAGTTACTGAGATTTTCCATTCTCCTGAAAAATACAAAACGTCAATAAACTTTAAAAAAAACAACAGTAAATACATGATAAACTTGTGTATCTTCTAAAAATATATGTTAAAAAACTTTAAGAGAAAACTGAAATTCAACTTAACAGAAAACAAGAACAACAAAAACTGCAAAGTAATGTATATGAATAAAAATACACAGATACATATTTACTGACACAAACTATTTACTAGTTTCTTATGAGGTACATATTTATAAATAAATCAAGAGACAAACGTTAATTAAAAACTAATTCTAAAATAAACACACATGAAAACAGTCATACACACAACTAATTTGATGTGAAGCTTAGAAATATAAATGCATATTAAATCAAATTGTACATAAAAACTAGCAAGAAGTAAATCTACTTATCAATATATCAAAAGTGAAAGACTACCTACTAATTTGACCTGAAACACATATACTTCATACCACAGATACTATTATTGTGTTATTACTGTTTTCTTCTTTACTTCTTCTTTACAAACTTGCTGATAACACAAAGCATTTTATAAAGCAACATAAAAAACATTTTCTGTTGATTTGGTATGATATAAACAAAAACAATCAAACAAATGCAAATTCCTAATCTTGTCTGTAATAAGCATATCAAATAGGGAACACTGCTTGCTAATTTGATATTGTTATGACAGCGGAAGTCACGCGATGCTGGGAGCATGTGCGCTGGTGTTTTTAGAAGGATCATGACTTATCGAGGAACTCTACGAATATCCGAGTGTTTGCCAGGCGCCCCTTTTCTTTTAGTATATAAGCCTGGCAAATAAAGCCAGCAATAGATAGATATGTAGATAGATTGAAG